TGTATACACATCAAATTTCATGAGTACCTAGTACTCACGCCTTTTTTGTGTTAATGGCATGATTTTTAACCTTATCGCTCCGAGTTTTAAAGTGAGGCGAAAAATATTTATCACTCACATTTTTAAAACACAAAACTCAAAACAATAAAACGGCTAAACTTTTTACGCCAAACTTTTAATTCAGAAACTGACAATAGAGAATCGTTCTTTTCTAGAAAAATCGATGACAAACAACCAAGCAAGCAAGAAGCACAAAAAGTGTTCCACTGTCCTCTTCAAGGCAGGATGGGCAAATGGACTTGTCATTTACGCCTATTACAGTCAAGTGTTTGTGCAACGTGAAGTTACCAGTCAGCAGTCCAACAAATTGTCTTTGCAGTGTCGTCTGCTTAGTGAGACCAAAAACTAGATAGACCTTCTGAGGTTGAGGGCAACATTACTTTTGCCCACCTGCATCCCCTCGATGCCTCCTAGTCATTGCTGAGCAAGGTATTCACCCCCTTTCTGATGGTTGCTTTGATGGCCGAAAGTAGGTGTGCTAAAACTGAGTGCGGTCCGAGGAATGTCAATTCTGGGCAAATGGCCAGATGTCTCATAACCAGATACTCCTGAGTAACCTGGCGCCCAGAGTAAAGCAAGCTCGTTATGTTTACCACCATAAATTAGTCGAGACTTGCATTGCCGAACTAGTTTGAAAGTAGTTAGAGGGCTGGCCAATGCCTTAAGTGCAGCGTGGTTGTCACTGCAGATACGTTAAGTCCTTCCCCTTTACCTATGTTCAACCACGTAGTCTACGGCTTTGATTATTGCAATTACCTCAGCCTGGAAGACCGAATCACATTACTCAACAGAAAAGTGAAACTTATCTCCATTAACTTCGAAAAAGACCGCAGATTATGACCCAAAGTCAGTTTTGGAGCCATCAGTGAAGATTCAATAATGTGTGAATCCGGTCTCAGTGATGGTATTAAACCAGCATTCAGTCTCAGGGAATTCAACATCAAAGGTAATACGTCACTATTCTGCAGCATTGAAAAGACACAAGTGCTTAAGTCTCTGCCGCCAGCAATGTTCGCCGCGCCCCAATCAGTGTTATATCAACATCCGATTCTTTTTAGTTTGCAGGTGGCCTTTCCCACATTTGAAAACACAAAGTGACGGTAAGTGCAGCAGTGCGTCAAGAGCACTACACACCACTCAAAAAAATTTAAGGTTAATAAAGAGGCTATGTAGCAAACATTTTGGTTCTTTACTATCGAAACCAGATACAGTTTTGGTGGACCCCCACTTACAACTCATGGACCCCCATATTTTTTTCATGTCACCGCAGACCCCCGTCGAGTCTTCCGCGGACCCCTGGGGGTCCACCTAGACCACTTTGGGAATCACTGGTATATACGAAGACCAATTCAAACATGCATACATATGTATGTGCATTAGACTGGGTCGAATAAAAGGTGTCTAAGCGGACCGTAGTATTTGAAGGCCGCGTTCTGAAAACAGCCAAAATCGGTTTTTGTTTTTTTATTTTTAGCCCACTTTCTTATTGTTCAAATATCTTTGAACATGATCATATGGGTGCATATCTACTTATTTGCCTGAGTATTAAAAAACACATAAACACAAACATAAAAAAATACGGTTTTCTGCATATACAAGGCAGGGAATCAAACATACTTACAACCAGAAAATATTTACAGTCCACTACTCTGTCAAATGTATGGCATGATAAGAAAAGCACAGTACATAGCCTAAGAAATTGTATAAATAGCACGAATTATAATATAAATATTAGATTTTGTATGAAATCTCAGCTGAACAGTTCTGTTATATTATTTTGATCTATATTTTCCCCTACCAGTGGTAAGGGATAGAGATTTTGTTATTTTTTGTTTATCACTTGTTACCCCATACCCACGATGAGGAACAAGTGATGGAGCATTGCATTTCCATATATGTATTGCTATAAGTACTATATAGCTGGAAAGATGTTGCTAAGCATTATATACATACACCTTTATATGCAAATATAATATAAACTTTACCATGATCCAAAGGAGGTGTATATATCGTCGCTTCCAAGTCAAACTATGGAATGTGCAAAAATGCTTTTTGAAATACGATACCTTGAGCATGCGTTAGGAACGATACGCAAGTTGGAAAATCGTCAAATTTCTACTCTTCTTAGAATCAGAGGATACTGGCTTTAAGAAAGTCTCGAACTCCACACAACGACATTTTTTACAACAGTTTTTTTGCTCTCATGAAAAGTACCCATTTTCACATTCGATAGTTTAACTTGGTAGCGACGATATGTATGTATATTTAGCTATCGAAAATACATATCAACACTTTAACATTGGATCGCTACTACAAAGTTAAAAATAAAACTCTATGTTTTGGCTGTCTTTAGAATATTTCAAAGTTTAATGTTCCATAACGCCGAACTACAATTGGTGGTATACTTTTCCAAAACGCATCTGAAAAGTTATCGAAACGCATCGCTGGAGTAATCAGCGCATCATAAACAAAGGTGATGCTTCGTTTCGTGTTTTAAAAATGGAAAATTCCTAAATGGTGATCATTGTTTTATTAAATATTCAAAATATGCAATGTATGTATATGGTTGCAATGTTTCGTAACTCTGCATGTGTAAACAGTTTAAATAACGCAGTAGAACAGTATCCAAACATTGTATTGGTACGTTTTGGAAGTCAGCCAAGCTTTCAAACTAACAAAACTTTTCTATTTTATATGGGCTTCGACCCGATGTAATACTATATGTACATATGTACATACTATGTATATGGAATGTGTTGTTCAGTAGAGGTGAAGAACATTCAATAAGGGCATTACACTGATATTGGCATTGCGAAGAGTTCGAGGTGCTGACGTTCGCTGCAGTGCTGTTGTGCAATGCTGAAATTTAACACGAGATTGGCAGTTCGGAGTCGCGTGCAAAGTAAACAACCCACGATAGTTAACCCAAGCGTAATTAGACACCAAGAGAGCATTGAGCCTACCTCTTTCATGTTCTGCTATTTTTCAGTGTTTGTATTCAATAAATTTTGTAACTTCTTCACTCTTAATAAAATTAGAACACTACACCATGATCAATTAAATAAAACACAATGGTATTCTATATAATATCGCATTTTATGCTCGACCGGCGTTGCGAGCGTTTAGTTCCTCTACAAGAATAATATAAATCAATAATATTAAGAGCCGTTCGTTCTGTTTTCCGTGCGCCGTCAGCTGATAGAATAGTGAAAATCGGAAACTTGCAAACTCTTCGAATTTTTGGATTTAAGAAATATTGTATTATAATAAAAAAGGTTAAAAATAAGTAAAAAAATAAATAAATTGTGCCACTCGCCCCGCTGTTCTCCTCGCTATCTTTGGTTTTGCATTGTTTCACGGAATTCGGTGCCAACTGTGCAAAAAAGAAAGCAAAACAATTTTCATGTGTCTCTTGAAGCATTGTCGCCTGCTCGATAGCTAATTAAGAAAATGTGCCTTGCAATGTAAAGTATACAAGATCGCTGCAATCGCAATTTGTTAACATACACACACACAACCGCTGATATATGGCTAAAATACACACATGTTTACATTCATACGTACGATCATTCGGATAGAATCAGTCGAAAACGCTCAGTTCGTCTCGTGCACCTGTCTTCACTTGAGGGAATTTTCGCATTACATACTAAAAGTTTGATAACTAGTGCATTTTGGCACGAAGTTTGTTGTTGTTACTAGCACTGTACTAACTAATACGTCACTGTTTGCGCGCTTCTTTCGCATACACGCGTGTCTGTCAAGAGCGACAACGAGAGCATTTAGCAAAGTTTTGAAATAAAATAAAAATGCAAATTAAGCAGAGTTTCGCCCGCAGCATTTTTAATGAGTTAAAGTTGCGAAAATTCGGATTCGATCACAAGCAGTTGGATCAGTTTTATCGATCACAGGTAAAGATGTACATATATTATAAAGGTTCGATTTGAAATAACCTAGACTAACAGAAAAAAACGTGACTATTTGTCACAACATTAAAAAATGTAGTGATCGTGAAATTTCCGATTGTTTTTGTTTGTGCCAACCACAATAACTAATGTGTTGAGGAGGGAAATTCCGCTGCAAATAGTAGATATTGTGTGCTATTTTAGAATATAAAAAAGGAAATCATTCCAAATAAGCGACAAATTCATTGGCTCGGTTGGCTAAAAAGTGCATTGTGACCTTACGCGTATTAACGTTAAAATAATTAAACTAGTTGTTTTTTGAGCTCTAGCCCGAGGGTAAATAAAACAATTGGATGTCTTATATTCCTTTTTGCTTATTACTGTCGATATTTCGTATTTACAAAGTTATTATTTTTTTGAAGTGGGGAATAAATGTTTCATCTCTCTTCGTCCCAAAGAAGCAACATGGCATTGAAGAAAGATAGGCATTTAAATTATATAATGTGATGAAATGACTATAGTTTTGCATGTCCCATCCGTGACAAAAAGTTTAAAACTTCGTATTACTTAATTACTACTTTAGGGATTTTTCTATAATTTCATAACTAGAGTGTGTTTATACTATGCAGCCCTATTTCATTTCTTTTATTATTTCATAAGTGCCTACTTTACAGAGATTTTGAAACGTTTTATCGTGTCCCGCCCGTGGCAATCACTTATACATTTTTGATGTGTATACATCTTTGGTTTCGGTAGGGGTAAAATTTGC